ATGCATGTTTCTAATTCATGAGCGTCTCAAAGGAGGGAGATAGAGCCATTGGTGTCTTCTATCAATACGTACCTTTGCTCAGATTTGTGCTCCCTTACACCAAATTTATCATGACAGAATTACCTTGTATCACTTTAGATTTACCTAAAATATGGAAATATGGTGGATTACCTTTTCAATTACTAATGCTTATGTTAGCATCCATATTTCACGATCACCCATTTAGTAGAACATATCTGACACCCCTGCCATAAGAGATACTTGAGCCTTATTCCTTCTAATTATTCTTGTCCCTAAACCTTTAGGATTAGTAATCTTGATATCCCAAGGCAGGGAATTGGTGAAGACTGTTTTATCAATTCCATAGTTGTAGACAGTGAACCAGTAACGAGTGCTGGTTACTTCATGGGACACTGATAAATAAGAATTCCTCTGCAGAGGCATGAACAAAACGGTGACTGTAATACGGGGGTATTATAGCTAAAGCCTTTATGAACAGAAAGCCCTTAAGCTGGTCATGTTAAAGACCATTTAATGTCACGAAGTTTAGATTTGTGGATTACAGAGATAGGAACAAAGTCTGATCAAGTGTCATGGAACTAGAGTGGGAAAGCCCAGAATTAAGCTTGAACTCCCCTGTCATGCAGGGGCTGCATCTCTGCTTCATTCTTTCCTGGTTTTATTTGCTACCTTGCTCTATTTCTGCTTTAGTTATCTCTTGCTTTAACTACCTCAAAACTTATTGGCTTAAAACAACCACTACCGTTTAGTATCCCTCAGGAGTCTGACTGGGCTCAGCTGGGTGGGTCTTCTGCTCCACATGGTGTTGCTGGGGCTTTAGTTATCTGGGGGCTCAAATGAGTCGAATATTCAACCTGACACTCCCACGTGGCAGGCAGTTGATGCTGGCTGTAGAATGGGAGCCCAGTTGGGATGCCAATGGAGCACCTGCGTGCTCTTCCTGTCCACGTGGCTTGGGCTTCTCTCAGCCTGGGGGCCGGATGACAAGAGGGAGCATTACATACGTGCAAAAGCAGAAGTTTCCAGAGCCCTGAAGGCCAGGATTCAGAAGTCCTGGGTGACCATTCCCACTGTGTTCTGTTGGTCAAAGCAGTCACAGGGCTAGCTTCCCAGAGAGGGGAAATAGACTTGGGAAGAGTGATGAACAATTTACAAATACTTTTCTTTTTCTTTTGTATGGGACTCAATATGCCCAACATGTCCCTCAGGCCCTACTGCATGGAAGCTTTTTAGTTCAGTGTTCATCACCAACTGGCTATATAGCCTCTGTGTCTGCAGAGCTCCCAGGTTCAAATGCTCCCAAGTTCAGATGCTTCCAAGAGACACTCATATTGGTTGCTGGCTGTCCAGTCATCGATGCGTTGAGAGGGCCAAGTCTTGTGCTACTGAGGATTTTCTTTGAAGGGTTGAGGTGGGATGGGTTATGTCACGGGTACTGTGGTCAGAGTAGGCAATGGCACATGAGAGCATTAGGGGGATTTGAAGGAATTCTCAGGTCCTGCCCATCCCTCCGAGGCTAGAGAGTTCTTTTCTTTCTATGTTCCACAAAGCTCTGCTTGACCTGCCTTCTGACTTCTTGAGTCATCCCCTCCCTGCTTTGTTTTGTTTTTTAAGTTACTCCTGTGCACTGTTCTCCCTCCTGCCCTCTGTCCTTCCACGGCCCTGGACAAGAAGCGTCTCTTCTCTCTCCCCATCTGTCATTTAGCTTCTAACTTACTCTTCAAATCTCAGCTCAAGTGTCACTTCCTCAGAGGAGTGTGGAAGCCTTTGGATTAAGTCTCATGCCCTGTTCCATCTCAGTTTCCTTCATCACACTAATCAGAGTTTGTAATTGTGTACCTGTGTGTCTGCTTGATCACCATCTGCCTCCCACTGTGGGCTTTAGAGACAAAGGCGCGTGTCTGTCCTCGGGGCATCAGTGACTGTGCGTGGCTCAGGCTCAGGTTGGGTGCTGAATTAAACACCCAATTTGCATGAATTAAACACCCAATTTGCATGAATTTAATTTGCATGAATTAAAACTTGGAGGTAGTTGCCTTGAAGAAGGAGTAAGTGGAGAGAAGCTTTGTCTTGATGAGAGAAGTTAAGAGCAGTCTGTTTTGGGGACTACAAGGACAGCATTTCTCAGGGAGTGCCCCCTGCCCCCCGCCATGGTGATTTAGGAGTCAGTGAAGTCCTATTGTTAAGGCATGCTAGTGGAGGCTGTGTGGTAGTTTCTGAAATGTAGCAGGAATTCCTGCTTGGAAATTGATTCATAAGTGCCTGGTGAAAAGCCAACTTCTTTTTCTTTTTGCTTCTAGCCCTGTGTGGCCCCAGTTCTGTACTCAGAGATCTCAGTGGTGGCCAAACTTCGTGGGGCCAGAGCTGTGCATTCCATTCCTGCTTACTCTCCCATTAGGCCAGTGTCTTGTTTGTAAGTCAAATATCGGTTAGATTACAATTTGAGATGTGATATGCTGGGAGCATAATCTCGAGATAACCCCAGCCGTAACTTTTTGTCCAATTCTTCTGTTGCACACTATCTAAAAACAAAGTGAGTCAAATAATAAAAATGGCAGAAGAGAAATAGAAAGATAGAGTAAGAAATAACTCAGATTCTGTTTTATTCAAAGATTCTGTCTCCTTTTGAATTCTAGAGGTTTTCAATTCCACACTTTCAGAGACTAAGATGGAAGGTGACATTGTTTCAGTTAATCTATTTCACTGAAATAATTTAATTCAGTAAATATGTATTGAATTTTGTATCTCAGTGGCAGGTGTAAAGAAATACAAGTTGGTCCATGACCATGAAGTTTGTACCTACCCAGGAAATATGGCATGCACCTGTGTCATGAGGTCCTAATAATGAGAGAGTCAGATAAAGAGGGCCATAATAGGACCTGACCTGAATAGGGGCTGGGGTAGTTACAGTGTGTTTTTATAAGGGGAGCATAATTTGAGCTAGTCCCCATGGATGAGTGGATTTAGGAAAGTTTGCACAGAAGGGAGAGAGAGAAAGGGCCTTACAGGCTGGGAAAGCCCCATGTGTGAAAGTTAAAGTGAGAGAAAAAGCAAGAAGGCCCTTTTCACACTCCAGAGGGAGTGAAGGCCTTGTAGGGTAGGGATGAGAAGTTGGAGAATGGAGGGCTATGAAGAGACCCCTAGCCTTTGGGTGAGACCCTTGGAGGCCAAGTTGCAGGTGCTGAATGCTTGCAAGCAGAGGAAGTCACATCATAAAACCTCTACTTTCAGAATGTTATTTCGATCACAATTAGCAAGGGGGTTTTGATGAGGGAGAGGTTGGAGCCAGTGAGACTGCCTGGAAGGTTGTAGTGGTTGACACCACAGTGGTGGCAGGAGAAACTGAGAGGGAGGGAAGTGTACAAAATAGGGTTCACCTCCTGCACTGCTGGTGGGAATGTAAATTGGCGCAGCCACTATGGAGAACAGTATGGAGGTTCCTTAAAAAAACTAAAAATAGAGCTACTATATGACCCAGCAATCCCACTCCTGGGCATATATCCAGAAAAGAAGAAAACTCTAATTCAAAAAGATACATGTACCCCAGTGTTCATAGCAGCACTATTCACAATAGCCAAGACATGGAAGAAACCTAATGTCCATCAACGGATGAATGGATAAAGAAGATGTGGTACATATATATATAGCGGAATATTACTCAGGCATAAAAAAGGATGAAATAATCTCATTTGCACCAATGTCGATGGACCTAGAGATTATCATACTAAGTGAAGTAAGTCAGAAAAAGAAAAACATTGTATGATATCACTTATATGTGAAATCTACAAAAAGTGATACAAATCAACTTATTTACAAGACAGAAACAGATTCACAGACATAGAAAAAAACTTATGCTTATCAAAGGGGACAAGGAGAGAGGGATAAATTAGGAGTTTGGGATTAGCAGATACTATATATACTATAGTATACTACTATATATAAAATAGGACTTGTTCCCTTGCCTCCTTCCAGTCTTTGCCAGTCGGGCCTTTCTTTACCCTCCTGTTTAACATGGCCATCCCCCTGACTTTCACTCTGGGCCTGCTGCCCTACTTTACCTTTTTCCCTCCACAGCCTTTAGTGTCTTCTAATACCCAGACTGTTTACTTATCTGTGTGCCAGTCTGCCTCTCCAGAAGGGAGGTTCCATGAGAGCAGGGATTTCTGTCTGTATCACTCACCATGGCAGCCTCAGTGCCTGCACAGCACCAGGGACTCAGTGATCAGTTGTTAGGTGAATGAACAAAAGTCTGTTAGCAGTTTCTTTTTTGAGTGGCATTTTTGTGACATCTTTGAGATCAGCTGTCAATAATTTTTATCTTCATATCCAGGGATAGTCAGCACTCAGTAAACGTTGAATAAGTGAATAGAACCTAAAAAGTAAAAATGCTAACATGTTGCATTATCTAGTTCCAGAAATTTCCATTACTAAATGGAACCTTTAAATGGTGATGTGGGGAGGGGTGTGGAGGAATAATTTCACTTCATTTAGCTGAACTTCCACTTGTGCTTCAGAATTAACAGAGCAGTTTGGCAATTCTTTCATTATTACTAGGATTATTAATTGGATGCTATTTTAAAATTTGGCCCCTAAACTCTCAGCTGATGTTTTAGGAGATTATACTATACAGGGTGCAGAAACTGCTGGGGCTGACTGCAACTGTTCATGGCCAAGTAAGGAACAGCATAGGCAAGAAGCACAGGGTGGATTCAGTTGTGCCTCTGGGAGACCTGGTGACGATAGTTCATGGTCTCTGGGAAACAGCTGCCTGGGCTTCCTTCCGCAAAAGGAATCTTGATTTTGTTACCTGGTGGGTGCTTTTTATAAATAAATAAACAACCTTGAAAGACTGAGGGGGGTTAAAGAGAGAAAGGGAAGAACAATGTGCAGAAATTGTTCTTTATTTGGGAACATTTACTTGAGAGATCCCTCTGAAGTTTGCTTTTGTTTTATTTGGTATCACTTTCATCTCTTCCCAGGGGATGCATATGTCTTTGGAAGGAATGCATGCAGAAAAATAGGCTGGAGGAGACCCGAATGAGTTATTGAAAGTTTAACAAGCTTCTGAAGGACAGAGCAGCTCCAAGAAGCTGGGCTGTTACCGCATCTTGAAGGTTGAGATTTGGGAGGACCAGTGATGGTGTCCCCTGCTGCCAACATTCATGTGGTTTGTTGATGATATGACTAAAGGGCCAGGTTCTTATTTATATTTTTAGGTGGGGCCTTTTAAGGGAGTTCAGACAGTAGGGAAATAGAGCACACGGCAACTTGGAGAACAGCAGCCTTGGAGAACATTATGCCTTTGCTTAACTCGAGGGTTAAAACAATCCATAGGAAATTGTTTGGGGTTTTTCTGGCTGGTGCAAACACTGTGCAGCCCTTGTTTTCAAGTGCACTGTCTATAAAGGGTCAAAAGAAAGTTCAAATAAAATTAAAGCCTAGAGAACGAGGCTGTACACACACATAGCCCAATGATCGTCCATGTGACATTCCCTAAGTCTATTGCCTGGCATCATTTGGCGGGATGTTTAAGTCAATGGCAGAGCTATTTTCCTATCTCTGCCTAAAAGTGCCAGAGATATACTGGGTGTGTTTGGTCTGGGGTCAAAAGGCATGCGAGAAGAAACATCAGAGACAAGCCTTTTTTGGTTTTAAATTGTCTTATCTGTGTTTGAACTCAGTTCTGTCCTAATTGAAAAGGACAACTCATGGGGTAACCAAGACAGTGAACTTTGGTGTCCAAGGTGAAAGTGAATGAGAAACAAAAATATTTCTCTGGTGAGTTTTGTGATGAGAAGCAGGAAATCTGACCCTATGGAGCTCTAAAGTCCTTCCTACATCTTTATCTTTTCCATCGAAGAGGTCACATTCATTACATAGCACAGTTCTTGGAGAGAGTCCTTCACTTTGAACAAATGAGTTAAAATGTTTATATCCAAAAAATAAAAGGTGTATTTTCAGTAGAGTTTCTTTGATTAGGAAAAGAAAGACACTACTGTGTCCTACCATTTTTTTCCTGATTGTCTGTTGTATTTTTGACAAGTGCCCTCACTTCAAAAAGTCTGTGTTTTAATTCTAAATTCATAATGATCTCTCTTATCCAACTGATAAGATTACCAAGGTTCTTTTTCCTCTGCTGTTACCTAGTGTTTGTAATTATCTTCCCTTAATGTTGGACAGGGGAGGGGATAAGGAGAGAATATACAGCAAAAATCAGTCATGTTTTATTCAGTGGCCCATCCTGTTTGTTGATTTCTCCATCCCTCCATCCATCCACCCATCCATCTATCCATCCATCCATCCATACATACATCTGTCCATCTATCCATCCATCCATACATCCACCCATCCATCCATACATCCACCCATCCATCCATATACCCATCCATCCATCATCTATCCATCCATTCCATCTGTCCACACATGAACCCATCTTATATTCATTGATCATATACTATGAACCAGGCAAGCTAGGATCTCTCCCATGAAGGAGAGTAGACCTAATGATAGGCATTTATAGTGGAAAAATGTTAAAATCAGGCAAATTCAATCATGGGAGGATGTTATCACCTGTTTTTAGGGGTTTCAGGGAAAGTTTCAGGGAAGAAGTACTGTCTCTACTGATACAGGAAAGATGAATTGAAGTTTAGCTGGATGAACACTGTGTGTTTGGTCTTGGGTATGGTTAAGAGGTGAAGAAGAGTTTCCAGAAGAAGAGTTGTGTTTCTGAAGTCCTTGCAAATTCAGAACTTCCCTAATTGAAGAATAATTCTGACAAAAGATGGTGGATATTTCCTTTTATCAGCTAATATGGCGCCACCCTGTGGCCACTTCGTAAACAGAGTTTAGCGTTCCCTCGTCTGGGCCAGCTTCGAAACTACAATTCTTGAAGAATTTTAACATTTTGGGTGGATTTAACATTGATTCAAATTAATGTGAGACCATATTAATGTTTTTAATATATTATTTCAAAGCTGCATAATTCACGTTCACATCAAATAGGACCAAGTTCTGGAGAGTGTAGCTCATGGCCATTTGATGGAATTGAAAGTAGTTGAGCATGGGTAGCATGTAGACCAGAGAGTAGTAATACGTTAGGAAGGAGATAGAGGGAAGGAAGAATAGCGGGAGAGGAGATTGATCATCAAAGGCCCTGATCATCAAAGGCTGTGAACCACGACAAGAGGATTGCAGTGGGTTGCCTTTCAAGAATGTTAAGGAGGGAATGGCAAGGTCAGTCTTAGGCTTTCTTCAAGTTTTAATAGAGCAAGTTGGAATTAGACTGAGGCTATGTATGGGTTTTGGATATTTGCAGAATATTCCCCTTTATTTATAATTAGACTTGGGTTATAAACAATATAAGCTTTCATAGTTTCAAAATACTTTTAAGTTTTTTGTTTTGTTTATTTGTTTTTGAAGGGTCCACTAAGTACCTTGGAAGAGACAAGAAAATACATGGCTTAACCCCAAAAAGATTGGGTAGAGGCTCGACCCAGTCTTGGGATCTAAGGTTGGGGGAGAATTTGATTAGCGAATCATACTTGGGGGTCCCTGGTAAAATAGGTTAAGGAAAACATGAGTTAGACAAAGTTAAACTTCTTTACTGTGGGACTTCTTAGAGCCTTGAAAGCATTCATGTCTGTTGTGAACCTTTATGATTAAGGCATGTAGCGTGTGCCACACTTGTTTCACCGCTAAGGAAGCTTCACTCTGGAAATAGTCATTATAGTCTGGCTGAGAGCTTGTTATCCATTGCCACAGTAATGCTGCGTAACAAGCAACTATAACATCTCAGTGGAATACAATAATAAAACTGTATTCAGCTTGCAAGTTTGGGGAGTTCAGCTGATCTTGATCTGGACTTGGCTGATTCCAGCTAATCTCACTCACGTGTCTCTCTCTGGTCAGGTGTGGATTGGGCAGGCAGCTCTTCTGATCTGGGCTGGGTTTGCTCACATGTCCGGGAGTTCAGCTGGCTGTTGAATGATCTAGGATAGCTTTAGCTAGGAAGACTGGGGGTCACTTGTCTCTGCTATATATGGCTTTCATTCTGAGGCACGCTAGACCTAGCATGTTCTCCTGGCCATGACAGAGGAGCAAGAATGAGAGCGATGCCAGCAGTGCGTGTATTTTTCAGCATTTGCTTGCATCGTGTTAATATCTCATTGGTCAAGGGAGTCACACGGCCAGTTAGAGTAGGAGGACACTGCAAGGTTACATAGCAGAATGTAGATCCAGGGAAGGAGGAGACTCAGGCTCTGTTTGCAGTCAGACCCTGGAACCCAACTTGAGAATTGCCTGTTGAGATCACAGTCAACTGAGGGTGAGGAATGAGGTCAGACTTTTCACTATGCCATGGCCACAGACTGTACTTTTAGTTCTGATAAGCAATCTCACAGATAGATGCCTGGCCCAGGTCAAGTGAGAGAGTGTTCATCTGGTTCCCCACAGGACTTCTATTTTCTTTCTGTGGAATCATTTCAGGGCTGAAAGGATTATGGTCATCAGCTAGTTCTAGTTGCATTATGTTGGAAATGAATAAACAGAGACTCAGAGAGGTTAACCGGCCAGCCTAAAACTACTCAGCTAGCTAGAAGCCAAGCTGAGCCTGGAACCCAGATGTTCCTTTAATCTCATTGGGTTTTAATAACCTCAAAGAAACTGTGTTTGGGGTGAAGGGGAGGTGGTGGAAGGGACTGAAATTGTGTTTGCAATCATTGTATGTGAACAAATCACATTCCTTCTGGAGGGACTATAATAAAAGTAATTTTTAAATAGATGATAGATGTCTTTGGAAGGACAAAGTAGATAGTTAAAAACTGAGTTGCTGAATACTGTGACTGGAGTTTTGTTTTGTTTTTTTTTCAGAGGAAAAGTGGGGTGTGGTTTGAAGTGGGAAGGGCCCTCGGTTGGGTAAGTCATTTCCCTTACTACAGCCTTTGTTTCCCCACCTGTGAACATTAGAAAAGGAAAGCAAAATGAGGACTGCTTCACAAATTGGCACGTGGTCTTTGCACAGGGGCCATGCTAACCTTTGTATTGTTCTCATTTTAGTATTTGTGCTGCTGAAGCAAGCACTGATGGGAAATCCTTGGTGATATGTTTTTGTTTTCGGGGTTTTCTCTCCTCTGCTCCCTCCACACTCCCAAGGATTTCTGCTGCAGAGGACTTCCGAGAAGAGAGGAAAGAATTTGTGTTCTAGCTCCTGCTTTGTCAAACAGCAGATAGAATCATGAAGGCAGATCTAGCCTTCCAGAATAGGAGCTACATTAACACCTAATTTAGCCGACAGGGGTGGGGAACAATTTATTCTATATAAATCAAATTTTGCTCATGAAATTTTACCCAGTTAAGCATTATCAAATGAACTAGATATTTTTATGATGGAAATACTTCCACAAATATTACGTATATTCCCCTGATTTACTAAACAGAAAACAACGGAAACTTCGCACCCATTTAGACATCAGTTATTGAACTGTGTGGTAATACAGCAACGTGCCTGTAAAGAGCCATGTAGTGAAAGGCATTTTCTATTGTTATTATTTGTGTTTGCTTAAGGACTGCTGGAGTATGTTGGACTACTTGCCATCAAACTGAGTTTTGACAGACATACTTTTTAAATTCTTTTTTTTTTTTTTTGGTGGTGCCACAAGGCTTGTGGGATCTTAGTTCCCCCACCAGGGATGGATGGAACCCAGGCCCCCTGCAGTGGGAGCGTGGAGTCCTAACTACTGGACCGCGAGGGAAGTCCGACTTTTAAAATTCTTGTATTTTATTTTCAGAGTGTTTCTCCATACTTCCTTATTGTCAGTTGATTAGCTGTATTTTGGGGCTGCTCAGATAGATTTGTTCTCAGATCCATTCTTGACTGTTTCCTGTTCTGCTCCATGTTGCAAGGAACCATATTTCCCAGGCTCTCTTGCCCTCTGGTGTCCAAGGGGAGACGTAAGGGTATCTCTCCGGCCCCCTTTCTGCTTTCTTTGGTATCTCTAGAAACAGCTGTGTCTCTTCCATAGCTTCTGCTCCCACCAAACTTCTTTTTCCACAGCAGCCTATCCTGTTCTAGTCTTGCTGGTTGTCCCCAGTCTCTGGGCTCTGATAACACCTCTTCCTTCCATCATCCTTCCTGCCTAGGCAAGCTAGCAGTTCTCCACGGGTGCTGGTCTCTGGGCTGCCTCCCTGTTCCCTCTGTGGCCTCCTAGCCATTCCATCACTCTGTAACCATGCTCTTGACTTGAAAGATCTGGAGTAGTTTCTGTTTTCGGATTGTTTTGACAGATAACAGAGGTTGCCTGCTCTTGCAGCTGTCTCTCATTCTAATTTGCTTCTTGCCATCTACTCTGAGGACACCAGCCAGCTTAACCAGTTTACTTTATTGGACGTAAATATGCAAACCTGACTGAGCACTAGAGCAGAATAATCTAGAGCCTGGGCTCTGGCAGTACAATGTATGGGTTCCAATCCAGCCAGACCACTCATTGGCTGTGTGACTGGGCAACTTTCTTAACCTTTCTGAGACCCACTCTTTTCATCTGAAAGATGAAAGTAATTGCAGTACCTATGCTGTCTCTTAAGGGCAACACCTATGGAGGGGAAAGGAAGGATGTGAGATTGGTCAGAGGGAGAAGCTGGGCTGCGATGCAGTCTTAACAGCAGCCTCAGTCAACCCCGCAGGGAGCTCTAAAGCGGGTCGGGCCTTTATTCACTGATGTTGACTACTGGAGGCCGCTGACAGGGGATGGTGCTTGACCTTGGGCAGAGCAGCTTTCTTCAGTTGAGGGCAGTTTTTTACATTATGTCGCAGCTCTCGGAGTAGCAGGGGAATCAGTTCTTCAGTCCCCGGAGTGGTCTGGTCATTGCATCACTGTCCACCACACGTTTCTATGTGTGCAGTAGTGAAAGATAAATGGCTAATCCATGAGAAGTGTGTTGTTTGGTGCCTAGTACTTGGTGAAGTCTCAACAATAGTAAGTATCATTATTGATGGATTAGCCAATAAGTGGATTAGTCCAATAAGTGGACTTTATGATACCTAATTAGGTATTTGGAGAGTTTTTCCTGACTTCCTGTCCATGACCCCATCCTAGAGAGTCCAGGAAAACCTGCATAAGTGGCCTGTGGGTAACTAAGGTGCTGTGGCTTCTGCACATACACTATTAAACACATTTATATTTTTATACTAATGTTAATGTGGTATCTTTAAATATGGCTTACCCATAGGTTCTTCTTTTTTTTAAAATAATATTTACTTATTTATTTTTGGCTGCATTGGTTCTTCGTTGCTGCGTGTGGGCTTTTCTCTAGTTGCAGAGAGTGTGGGCTACTATGATGCGGTGCTCAGGCTTCTCATTGTGGTGGCTCCTCTTATTGTGGAGCACGGGCTCTAGGTGTGCAGGCTTCAGTAGTTGTGGCTCGAGGGCTCTAGAGCGCAGGCTCAGTAGTTGTGGCGCACCGGCTTAGTTGCTCCGCGGCATGTGGGATCTTCTTGGACCAGGGCTCAAACCCATGTACCCTGCATTGGTAGGCGGATTCTTAACCACTGCGCCACCAGGGAAGTCCCCCATAGGTTCTTATATCTTTATTTTCTGAGGTATTCAGGTATTTAGCATCAAATTCGATAGGCATTAATACAGCCCTTGCTTTTTGAACACTTATCATGTAGACACGGGGCTAAGCATGCATTATCTCATCAGTTCTCAGGACAACTCTCTGGGTGCTAAGAGTCCCACTTAATGGTGAGGACCCGAGGTCAAGGAGGTTAAATGATCTGCCCAAGGTCACCCATTCAAGGAGTGGCAGCTAAGTTCCCCCACCAGGGCTGCAGCCCCAGACTCACATGCGCCTACGCTTTCAACTACACATTTTCACAATTTAAACAGCAGTAGGGGAAACCTTCTCCTCTGAAAATAACTCTAGCACAGTGTAGGTGTTGTTTTGGTAGAAACATTTCAGCTGCTGCCATAAAATTCGTCTCCCAAATGGCTCTGTGAGAGCAAAGCTGGGCAGACTCTGCTTGTGTTTAAGAAGCGAGCCTTATGGCTCAGCCACAACACAAATGATTTGTTTTCCTGGCCTTGTTGGCGAAGTGATTTAATTTCTGGATTTCCCTGAGGGAAAAGCTGAAACAAATAAATTTCTTTGTAATTGGATGTTTAAGGAGGAGCCACGTGGGAAAGTCATGATGGGAAGCCAGGTACGTTTTCCTTCACTGAGTGATGCAGTGAGCAGGGCAGGGTCGGGGAGGGGGGTAAGTGCATGGGCAGAATTCACTAGGTAGTTTTACTTCCTAATATTTGGGTCTCTGCTTTTCATCAGTAAATGATTATTATAATCATCTAAAGCCCCACAAGCAAGGTGGGTGTTTAGGAAAGTGGGTGTTCATCGTTGTTGGAGAAGAGCAAGTTAGGTCACATTTCTTTATATCTGAATAGAAGTAATGCCTCTTTTTCTGTAGAAAAAAAATACTTTTTCAAAATTGGGTGTATGGCACTAATGAGAAGTCTAGGAAGCTGTAAGGTCAGGGATTTCTAAAAGTGTATTCTGAGGATCTCTATTTCTTGGATATATCAGTTAGGATAGTTTGGGCCATCTATAGCAGAAATGTAAAGTGACTGTGACATAAAATATAATATAACAGTGAAAATTCATGCAAAAATATTCAGAGTTAGGCCCTCTGTGATTTCACAGTATTGTCAAGAGTCCAGGTTCCTATCTTTCTGTCTCATCCTCCTAATCCTGTGGCTTCCATTTTCAAGGTCACTCTGAGGCCAGTTTAGTTTTGGCCACCATGTCTGCAGTCCAGATGGGCAACAGAAGGGAGGCCCCTTAGTGGAGGCAGCTTCCTCAGTTTCTGCAGCCTTCCTGGAAATTCCATAGAACACTTCCATTTATATTTCATTGGCCAGTATGTGGTCACATGGTCAGACCTAGCAGCAAGAGAGCCAGGTTGACAATACATTCTGTGATGTTGGGCATGTTATAGCCCTCTGAAACGTGCAGTCACCTCACCCATTGAAAGGGTGCATGGTGATCCCTATCTCAGTGTATTCAAGAAATTATCTGAAAGTCACATACGACCATTGCTCATAATACCTAATGCTGACATGGTACTAACCCTGTGCTGGGTGCAGTTCTCCACAAACCTGTGAGGTAGGTGCTCTGATGATCCCATTCATAGTTGATGCTACTGAGGCATGAAAAGGTTAAGTAACAAACCAAGGTGTTGCAGACCCGAGGTTTGCACCCAGGCACCAGGCGGCTGGTCCTATCTCACAGTCAGGCTGAAGAATTGCCTCTGAAGTGTGAGTCACTTAGAAATGAGAGAAATAAAGGTCTAATTCTGACAGAATTGAGAGGGATGGGAACATGACTTAGGTTTTTAAAATTAAGTTTGGATTCTTAGTACAGAGCCTGCCCTGACAATTTAAATACCTAGTTCTTGCAGGTGCATTTGACATTCAAAAGCAATCAGATTGTATTCTCTGTTCTTTGAGGGATTACTGGGTTCTGTGCATCTTGAAGGTTACATTTGCAATCAGCATTAATTTCATTGTTAAGCATTTTCCTTCACATTAGTTACAGGGTCCTTTCTTTTTCTTTTCGTTTTTGCGTCTTGTTTTTTGAGACTGGTTGGGTTCTAGTGGAGATAAGTTGTGAGATTAGGTGGGGCAACTCTCTCAAGTTCATTGTTCAAGAAGCCGTATTAGCTGCAGAGAGTGAACTCAGAGCTTGGCTGAACCGTGTGGGTCGCTAACCTAGTGTCACAGAGCAGTGTGCTTTGTTCTTCCCCTTGAACTGGAGTGGGGTGAGGAAGGCACAGGACGTTAATTGAGAGTGATTCTCCCACTACATTTTATGATTCATTCAAGGGAGTCACACTAAACTACATAAACAAAGGGAGGAATTCCCCT